CTCCCTTCCTCCCTTCCTCCCTTCCTCCCTTCCTCCCTTCCTCCCTTCCTCGCTTCCGACGTCCTCCCTCCCTTCCTTCCTTCCTTCCTTCCTTCCTTCCTTCCTTCCTCCCTCCCTCCCTCCCTCCCTGCCTCCCTGCCTCCCTCCCTCCCTCCTTTACTTCCCTTCCTTCCCTTCCGTTCCTGCTGCTCTTCCCATTCCTTTTCTCCTTCCCATTCCTTCCTTCCGTTCCTCGCGTTCCTTCCTTCCTTCCTCCCGTTCCTCACTTCCTCCCTCCGTCCCACCCACCCTCCCTCCCTCCCTCCCTGCCTCTTTTCCTTCCATCCTTCCTCCCTTCGCCCCTCCCTTCGCCCGTCCCTTCCTTCCTTCCTTCCTCCGGGCTGCTGCTGCTGCTGCGGGCTGCAAGTGCTTCGGTGAGAGATTTGTGAAAATTAGCAAGGCCCCTGCAAAAGGATGACCACAGCTCATGCATAAATCAAGAAATGGTCCAAAAAAGATAAAGAGAAGAAAGGAAAACATAGGGAAAAGAAAGCAGAAAGCTTTGGTGAGGGGAGAAGGTGGGGAGGGGGAAGATCAAGCATGGATCATTGCTGAACATTCATGAGCTTTCGCGTGGACATATTGTGTAATCATTTGTGGCTGAAGACTTGTGAACACAGCTTCTCGTAGATCTACAACTTTCACGGACAATTTGGAACCTATGTTGAGATCAGTATCATCATTCTTCTTAGGCTTATCTGTCTGCTGACTTCGTGCCAAGGTGCTTAATGGTCTTTTGACTTCAGTTTTCCATCTGCTGGTGATCCCCAAGCCTGAAAGTGAGAGTTGGTGGTTATTCTGTGCAGCCCTGACCAGCGATGGATGATCTGTGCACCTCTGCGCAGCAGGGGCAAAGGTAATGTGTCAATGTCAAGACTCCCACGCTTTCTTGTATGTTCACTGAGACTGTGTTAGATTTTGAGCTCTACATGGAGCTGTCAGACAAACATGTACAACCCTTCATCAAGTTACCATGATCTTTACCATGCTTATGTCACTCTCGCTACTTGACATAGGATGCAAAGTTTTTGGTAGGCAGTGTCTCATGATATGACAAGTGTGCACGTTTGGCAAACTGCTGCTATTGGAATGGTGCATGCTTCAAAGCATTGGATCTCAGCTCGGTTGACAGCGGCGTTAGGGATTAGGTTTTCTGTGGGGCATATTTTCTTGCTTCAAGCCTGCAACACTTTCTCTGTTGCCATGATGCCCTTTTCCATTGGTTATGGTTGTTGGTGTGATCATGTGTTTCATTCCGGCAAAATTGTTCCAGTTATATCAATAGCAGCGATCCGGACACCAGGACAGGGATCTGGATCGTCCGGTGCCCGGTGTCTGCATCAGATGTCCGGATACTGCTCCAGATGGTTGAAAAAGGGGGTTCAAGTTCCACGTAACCCAATTTTGTTTTGTCAGCCAGGTCGTTTTCTTCCATCCTGGGCCGCTGTGGAAAAGTACTGGCTGATTTTTTGTGGGCCCTGTCTGGCATCTAGACAGGGCCAGGGGGAGGCCATCTCGTAAAGTTTTTTTTCCCCTCCATGAACATAGTTGCGCCCTCCCCTCATGACTTTGAATTAAGCCAGCCTCTTTTTCTTCTATTTTTCCGGACAAGGGTGTTACTCAGCTCTTTCAAATGTGCCCATACCTTCATGGGATTCAACACTTGGTACAACCCCCAAAAACCGAGAACAAGTTCAAAGAAAAACGGAAGAAAGACGATGGCGCCCATCGGAACGGATGCTTGCAACAAATCTGGGGACTTTCTGTCCCACAGTGTTCTGTCCGCCCGCTACTTCGTGGGCACCATTTTATTTCGTTTTTCTGGTGGCCCTTGGCGAAAAGCCAACGGCAGTTCAGCCCTGGCTGACACTCATACCAATAGGCCCTTCTCCTTCGGTCAGCGCATCTTTCCAGGTTTGTTTGTTTGTTTGTTCTTTCTTTCTTTTCTCTTCTTCTTTATTTATTTATTTATTTATTTATTTATTTTTATCTGGACATAAAGGGTTATCTGGACATGTGCATCCTAACATGTAAATGTCATGTGTGGATTATCCGGACATTATCGGAAATCCAGACAACCGGATCACACCGTGAAATCTGGTGTTCGGTGTCCGGATCACTTCTCCGCCACTGCCATGGTTATTTTCTACTACGTCGTAACTACGATCTCCCTTTCATGCTCCTTGCTTTCCTTGCCCGTCTTGTGTCTTCTCTTGCTTTTGTGTGCATGCCGGTGGAGATGTTTCTGCTCCACATGTTATAGTGTGACTCCTTCATGGTTCAAGTTTGTTCAGTTGGCTTTCCATGGCAGCATGCTGACCTTGATGCTCCAACATCTTTCCTCTCTGGAGTGAAGCCAACCATATAAGGCTACACTCTTTAGGGGAGGGACAAAGAAGGCCTATGCTTCTGCAATGAACTTGCAGTTTCTCAGCGGGCTGTAACTGTAACTGGGTCATTTCTGTAATTTTTCTTGATCCTGGGCCGTAACTGGTAACTGAAACAGGCCTAGTCAGACAGGGACATTTCTGCAAAATTCTAGAAACCGGTACGCCTGGTCCTAAACCTCGTCCAGGCCTAAAATGACCCTTCGCTACTGCCAGGGAATAGTGACTCTTTGCTCCCTATAGAACTCCGCCTCCTACCCCTTCCCTTCCTCCCTCCCTTTGTGTACTACTAGCTAGTAAATGTATGCGAAGGAGCACCATGCGAGGGTTTGATCCCGCGGCATAACTGCATAAGGCCCTGCATCAGGCACGTGCCCGCCTTAAGTGAAGGCGGGCCCGTGAACTTGTCAATTTTTGCAAATCTTGGTCGGCGTCAGACAGTTGCCACGCGCCAGTTGGTTACATCCGCATTGCTCGTGAGAATCCACAATATTCGTGAGCCCTCCAGGCTCTTCCAGCAACGTGGTTGAAGCAGGGAGCATCGCGCGTTTGGGCCTGGGTGGTTGGGCATGCCTAACCAATTCGGTCCCAGGCCACTGTCTGAAAGGGCCTGGGAGACATTTTGGCCGGGACTGAAGCTACTGGAAACTCGGTCTCACGTGGGGGAAAGCAACCAATGCGCCTCCCACTTTCCATATAGGAAAGGGCAGGGCGCCGGAGGGGGCATTCGGGCACTTGCGAGCAGATGCGGCAGCGCTGCTGCGCTAGCTGCTGGATGCAAGCGTGCGTGCGCGTGTGGTCGTGCAAGAGGAAGGGCGCTTCTGAGCGCGGCGCCGTAGCCAGCCCAACCATAGCCGGGCTTGGCTTAGATACAGTCAGCGGAGGGTGGTGGTCTTGTATGGGAGGAAGACGTGGGTAGGTAGACAAGTCAAGGGAGAGAGGGAGAGACGAGGAGGATGATGCGAGGGCACATACCTGGTCTTGGCAATAGTCTACAAGGGTTGACATCTTCATGTACTTCGGTTCTGCTGCTGACGTAGGTAGACAAGTCGAGGGAGAGAGGGAGAGACGAGGAGAATGATGTGAGGGCACATACCTGGTCTTGGCGATAGTCTACAAGGGTTGACATCTTCATGTACTTAGGTTCTGCTGCTGACGTCAACAGGTTGCATTGTCAATTTGTAGGCTGGTAGTCGCTGTGTGATAGTAGTCTGGTCGTTGAGCGCCAAGTAGGAGGAGAGGCTCTGGATACTTATGTTGGTGATGGCGAGAGTGACAATCAGATTCGGTGCTTTGGTTCTCCATTGGTGATATATCGGTGCAATTCTGCTTTCTGGACAGCGTTGAACTTTCTGGCTTTCAATGTGATTTTGCATTCTGGAAGTCTGTCATTTCGCTATTTCTCATTTTCCTTGCAATTTGGTATTGGAGCTGGTTTGAGCCGCTTCGCTGGCTCCTTCGCAATAGCTGTTTGGTGCTTCTCTGGATATGGTGGGGCAGTGATAACGCTTGTGCGCGGGGTGATAGGCGGCCCAATGTCGTGTGGGCGCGCCAGGAAGGCTATGTGGTGACATAGGGGTGCACGCTGGATGATGAGAGCTTGCTGACGTGGCAATTTAAGCCGAGGTGGAACTGCATTGCATTGTGGGGTGTCACGAGGCGTCGACCGGTCATTATAAATGCACGTCAGGTTACTGGTGAGAAATCTGTGGTTGGGGGCAGCACTATGAGGTACGTTGCTCCTTACCTTATCTACCCTCATTACTTCTTACCGTGAGGAAGTGAGTTATGTCTTGACAGTCCTCATTGCGAGGTGTCGCGAGCTCTCTACCTTGAGAGTCGACATTCTTCCTGGGGAGCAAGCTGGTGGGAGACGGGCGTTGCCAATTTCTATAGCATGGGTTATCTCCCTGTCTACCACCTCAGTAGGTGCCTCAAACAAGTCTATATAACACCGATGATGTTTTCTATCTTGTGTGGGGTTTCTATGTCCCGACACTTTGGAGAAACAAGCACTAGATACATGCCTTCTTCCAGATTCTGTCTATAGTATCTGCCGCACACAAACAGCTGTAGGATTCGTCTTTTCTTTTGGGAGAATACTTCCTGGTCCGTACAATCCTATGCCACCAGACTCGTCTTCTTCTTCACTTGGCATGAACACAGTTCAGATTCAAACTTGCTTCGAATGGCTATGGTGCCTGTGCACCCTCACAACGCCCTTCCTACGCTGTATTCCCAGCAACTGTTCACATCCACGCTACCCTGGATCTCCCTGGATGTCCCACACACACACACACTTCACATAACACCCACACACATACACGCTACAACCTATCTCTAACCAACGACAGCTATGGCTGCCGTTTACCTTCCCTACTAACTAACGACTATGGCCGCTTTGTCTCCTTCACAGCCCACTTCTCCTTCGGGCACCTGCAGACCTCCTTGCACAAGATGCTCAGGCAGCGCTCCCGCACGACTCACCAGCAGAATCAATGAATGACTGGACACTGCCTCTTGATTTATACTTCGGTTGGTCGCTGGTCTTCCCCTTTTCACCGGGCCCAGGGTGCACACAGTCCCACATGGTACTTGCTGACTGGACAAAGTGCGACTGGGATTGGGTACCACTGACTAGGCGAGGCTGGAGTCTGCCCACTTGCCCACTTGCCTCTAGCCTAACCTAAGCAATTCTCAAAAGGTCACTTCCGGACCTTCCGGAAGTCTGTAGACTTGACCTTTCAGGACTGTAGCAGCGACGACCTTAACCTTTCAGGACTATAGCAGCTATGACTTCTACACAACTACGACCCCTACTTGACAGACCCACGGTTCAAGACCCGGCGACTACACTAACCTGCGACAGACAACAGACGACTACCAAACACAGGTCACGGGTTCAAACACATATGGGTCGACTTGGTACTGTACACGGATTAGGGCAAGGTCCAGGGATTGAGCCCTGGGATCTGCGTCTGCCACTGCAAAGGTGAAAACCGTTTCACTCCCGCCGGCCTAAATTCAAGGTCGTCCGAGAATATGTCAACTTACCGTAGGCTCTTTACCTTTCTTAACTCTTTCAGAGGCACGGATTCACCTACAATGCGATCAATGTCGTACCTTCCGTCCATATCCTGAGGGATCATGGACCTTCTCGATGGGAATTGTTGACTCGTAGTGCAAGGCAACAACTTTGACGCATGAAAAATTGGGTAGGCGTGGAGGTGTGCTGGAATCTCTATGGTGTAAAACGGCCCATCATCTTCGCCCTTGACTTCTAACACTGGTGCTCTATCATCTTATGTTGGGCCTTCCTGAGGTTCTCTATAACTGTAGCAATCTCTTTCTCACGCTGTAGCGCAAACTCCCTAGTACTGGACGGTAGCCTCTGGATCCAATCCGGGTTGAGTCCCTCAAACGGTCTGCGCGGTTTTAAATGACTTATGCAGCTCATTGGGAGTGCGAC